GGACCTTGGTAATTAGTATGATGTCACAACCGCTGGCCCAGTTTAGGCCCCACACCTGCTGGTTTTTGGGTAGCCAAATATTCACCAACTGTGCAACAAAACAAAAAACAGGCATAACAAACTGAGTTCTTATACTGTACCAATGACCTTACTGCAGAGCATCAAGTCTTACAGTAAATATGTTTAAGTCTCTGAAAGAAGTGTCTATGATTTTAAGAAAGAACTGCAAAACCAAGTTGGTCTATTACACTAAATCCTTCCAGAATCTGATTTAGTGCCTTTTGTTCTTTACTTATTACTTACAGTATTCCTACTCTGTCACAGCCAACAATGCACTTGAGAAGTGCTATGCAGGTGCTTTTAAACATTTGTTTGCAGTAATGCCTTATCATTGATCTAACACAATTATTGACCAGATGTTATTTAGCAAAAATGTCTGTCAAATGGTAAAAACCCATCAATGACCGATTTGCATATGAAGTGTACTTGAATGGTATTCACACTGTGTGCTGCACAAGATTCATGGTGCAGTGAAAAATGAATGAAGCTCAGTCTTCTAGCATGGCTTCAGGTATAATATTATAGATAGAGCCTTTGTGCAGAACTGATTTTTACAGCCCACGGTGAAATACAATTACATGAGACTTGCCATATATACTTCAGAATATTTTACGGATCTTGAGAATTACCACAGACTTATTTCCTTGATTAGCTTTACAACTTCATCACCTTAGGAGTGTTGATGTTTGCAAGATAATACATCAGATGATCCATTTCTCCTCCTCTCTGGGTGTTTGCTCATTCCATTTTGCTGTGATCTAGCCAGGAGCAATAAGTTGTGCCCAAGCTCATAACCATATACGGCATCTGTAATATGTGGCTGTAGCGCATAAATAAATTGTGTCGAATGTAACCATCTCACATTCAATTGGATATTTCGTGTCCTTGGTTAACAACTGAATGATAATCTGTAGCCTCAGACCAGGCATTAAAACTCACAAGCACAGTCAGAACAAATCTAATATACTGTATCTCAGTGACTGTTATCAAAATGGTGCAT